AACGTCATTGGATTCACAAGTATAATTTTGCATACCAAATTTTCGTCTTGAAATATGAATAAAAACAATTATCGAGCCCGTTTGTAGACAACTGTTTAAGATTATTCCATTGTGGAATTTCAATCTAACCATGGTGTCTATGAAAAAACTTATTATAAAAAAATCAGTATCGCTGAAACACCTACCAAACGAAAGCCTGGGCTCACCCATTCCATATGAGGCTATATGGAAATGTTCTACCGGGGGATCTAGAACAATTGTTATGAAATGAAAGAGGAGCCGATTTTTATATAATAATGTTATTCTACCACCCAAGTAACAATTCAACAACCTTTTGGCTTTCACTCTGATTTATCGCGGTTTTATAACGGCAATAAGAAATCTTTTTAGTTTAAACACAGCATAGAATAGTGCAACACATTCTTGGTTGGTAGTTCAACATTTTGCTGTTTTAAAAATCTTTTAAAGTCTGACGATAACGGGGTTGGTTTTTTCAATTAATTCAATGCAGTACTCTATCCCTTCATAAAACTGTTCTAAAAATCAATCATAAACCTCCTTATTGTTTGTTTATTGATGATCCTTATAATAAGACCATTGTTTAAGTCTTTTTTAATTTTATTTATTTATTTTATATTCCATTTTCGCTTGAAATCTTCAGGTCAATTGCAGTTCCACCCTTTTTCTTCAGTATGTGCTTCACAATTGACAAGTTTTCCTCAATTGGCCTTAGTTCCGGATTATTGGCCGGATTCATCTCCTTTTCGCTGTACCACTGTTTGGTGGAATTTGAGTAGTGGCAGCATGCCAAGCCCGGCCAGAATAGGCAATCCATCTGATGCTGCTCCAGAAAAGACAGTAGTCTCTTCCGTATGAACTCCTCCTGGTAAATTTGCTGGTTCATGGTCCCAGAAGTAACGAAAGTTTCGCTTTTCAGCCCACAACAGCAGATTGCTTGCCAGACTTGGAACTTTTTGGGGAATTTAGACTTTTTTTTATTTTGCATTCTTAAGGGGGTTCCCTTCGAGTCAACCGAGGTACAAAATTCTTGCCCAGGAATATGATCGATTTTCGTTTCGAGCGTGCAGGATCGAATTGCAACGTGCTTGCTCCGGTGAAGCCATGATGTAAACAAATTAATTTATGCTGACAACCAATGCCTACTATGATTCTATACACTCTTAGCTTGATTCAATAAGGATTTTGTTCATATATTGCAACAAAATACAGGCAGCTTATGCAACGTATCAGCTACATTACCACTAACAATTAAAAGTTCATGTTTTTCACAGACTCGTGTCTTTGGGTGAGATAACCACTCTCTGAATGTTCAATCGAACGGGCGTAGAAGTGTCATTTTTTCATGTATTTTATCCAGTATCACCATACAAAATTCAAACTAAAAATGTCTGCTCATCTTGCAACCACATGAGCTGAAACTTTCAGAGTATGGTTTTCTCACCAAAAAGAACAAATCTAGGGCCGTGTAAAATTGGAACACGAATTTCGTGTTTGGCCAGTCTAATCAGACAGTAGATGCAACCAGAAGACTAAGGTTTTCATCATGTATAAGACAATATACCCACAACCAAGGTTGTCTACCGATAACCGTCGATAACTTTAGCGTTAACTTCTGCAATTAAAATTCTCATTGCATATGTTAACGCAGAAGTTATCGATGGTTATCGATAATCAACCCTGCTTACAACTTTACAAACCGAAATGTCTCCAGAACCAAATATTGCCATTCATTCGATTCCCCGAGGTCCCTCTCAAATTCTGACCACATTATGCGACCTGTTATTACAGTTGTATGTGCTACGATAGTACGAGGTCAAAGAAGTTCATTTTGTTCCAAAAGACATCCACTTACGCAACCTTCCCCAGTTTAGGCCAACTGAGAAATTTTAAGCAATCATGAATGGATGCTGAAGGTAAGTGGTAAAGCGATCAAAATCACCACTCAGATGAAAACGTGGTGGATTAGGATTACCAAAACGGTGGACGATGAATGTGTGTGTGGGTTAATAAGCCGGTTCCCGGACAAGTTCCGGAACGTCTTCGAGATTACGATGAAGTTTTTTTCTGTAAAATTTTTTGGAAAAAATATATTAAATATATGAGTGAAAATCGACCTGTTAATCCAAATCCGAAACACACGGCATTGTTAATGTTCCATTTATAAATGACCCACGCTGTGTATAGCAAGGTAGTTGCTATGAGAAGATGTATCAGGAACATGTATTTCCAAGCAACACGGAGAAAGAAGTTGAAAATACTTTGTAATGACTAACGCAAAGAATCACTAATACTTTAAAATACATCATTTAATACATTTATACAACCTAAAAGCGCAAGACGCGGAGCTTATACAACTAAATAGTGGTCTTATAACATGTTTTGGAAACATCATAAAAACCAGCGACAAATAAAAAACAATAAAAAAATCTTGAGCATGGGATTCGATCACTGGTCCTTGGCGTGGTAGACTTGTTTCTACCTAACTAGACCACCACCGCTTGATGAAAGGTTTGTTATAAGTATCTATCATGTTCTTGCCAAAGGCATGAAAATTATTTTCTCGTTCAACACACCTTCGATCCGTTATGAAGACGTTTTGTTAGTAGCAAAGCGTACATCTAATTGCCAGAATGTTATTTAAACGTATTTTCAACTCCTTATAAGACAACCTGCACATTTTCAGTTGTATTATATTTATAATGTATCATAAGAAACTGTCAATCACTGCATGAAGAGACAGTCCGGCTCAATGGCACCGTCAATGTTTACGTCAATCTGGATTGATTTTGTATACGACAAGTTTTATAGGGGTATTAAAACAGTAAGATCCACGTTCAAATAACATTTAAAGATAAAAGCAAAAGAAAACTATTTTGGAAAATGTTGAATCGAAGAAGTATGAAGAAAACATCTTTAAACCTCATATATAACGTAGGATGTTTTCTGCATCTCTTATAATACATTTATACAACAATCCGTTCTAATTCTTTTTCAAAAGATGTTTTATGTGTTACTTGGGTTAGTAGGGCATTCAGCCAACTAGCCACTTGAATTAAAGACTTAACAAGACTTGTTCAACCTTAGCACGAATCCACAAATCAACTGGCTGATAAAGGGCTTAGTATGTCTAAGTATTCCGGTTAACCACATTGTCTGTAATAGTATAATCTTATAGAGAATAATCATTGTGATTACCTATGCAGAATCAACAATAAGGCACTAACAGCAGTACACAGTTGTTGCTTCAATATTATGCTCGCTTAATCCTGCACTGCTCAAGCCCACCATTTGGCGTGGTAAATTCAAAGAGCTGGGACAGAAATAATCGAATTGTTGTACACTATTTATGAACCATTTGCATCATTGTTAGAGATAAATCGATGTCATAATCGTTGCAAAAAACAAAAATCATGATGGTAGTGGAAGTTTGGTACATGGAATCGGTAATGTGAATGGAAGAGATGTATAAAATTCAGTGGAAGTGGAACCGTCATCTAGTGTTTGAACGACATCGTTCTTAATCATATTTTCGGAAGGCTGCATAATGTATGTCTCCATAATTTTCTTTAAAATTTATTTGAATTGTTCCTCAGATCTCTCTTGGTAGAACCGTTCAAACGGTTTAAGAAGAAGGGAGACCCTATACCAAGCATGATGTAAGCCATAACTATCAGTGCTCGTTTTCCATAGCATGATCTTAGAGGTATAATCTTTAGAATGAAGATTGCTTGGAATAGTCTTCAAATCCCCTAGAAATTAATCTAAGAATTTCCATCAAATTATTCAACAGAATGGCTAAGCATTCTCCTAGAACATCGATTATCAACCTGGAATTCACGACCCCCTCTGATTGAAAAGCACCTAAAAAGAAACAATGTAGAGCGAGTTTGTTTGTATGGTGAGGCAACGTTGAGAATCGATGTCTTAGTATTACCTCGCAATTGTCCTCATAATTATCTCTTATCCCCAGAATTCTCTTGAAATGCTGTCAGAAAATAATTTAGAATTCTCTTGTAATTAATATCAAAATTCTCGTTCGATGACACTCAGAGTTTCCCTAGCATTCTCCATTGAATTTGACTTAAAATTCTTTCAGGAATTAAAACTCTTATCATAATTCCCTGAAAAATCTCCGCAGTATTACTTTGGAATAATTTCTTCAGCATTTTCTTTGGGAATTTTTAAGAATGCCCTTTAAATTTCCTCAAAATTTCTTTGAAATGCTCTTAGAAATTCCCCGTAAGCCCACTTGGAATTCTCAGCATACGGTGAACCTGTTGAAAGAAACAGGGCTTGGATGGAAATTGAAACAATCCAAATGTTCTCGATATTCTCTTGCAGATCTTGCACCCCCAAAAAGTTGCCGAAAGACGTAATTCTACGTCAACATTTGAATTGCTTTGCCTCGTTTCCAAAAATGTCCGGTCCCAAAGCTGCTCGACTGAGTGATTATTTTTTGATTTTACATCGTAGAATTATCTAGAGTCGGCTCCAACAGATGTCAGATTAACGGGGGAGACTGTGTGGACAATTTTATATAAAAAAATTTAATTGAAAAATTTATTCAGGTGGTTCTTTAGTTCTTTATTTGATTCCTCATTCAAAATAATAACACAATCAACCCATAATCCCATGATCATGTAGTTGAGCTAGAAGTGTTGAAATCAATACGAATTAAAAGCTATTTTTCTATATAATTCAAGTCACTTGAATGATAAATTGCTTTTTGATGACACTTTTCACTTGATTTAATCACATTAAATCCGTTCAATCCCACCAGCTCTTGAACGTATCACATTTCATTCACATCATCACCTTATATCGTTTTTTTCTAGCACCGTACAAATCATTTCACTGATAACGAAATATTTCCCAAACGTTGACTTACATATTCATAAAGCAAGTGCACACCCGAGGAAAACAAACAATAACAAAGAAATATTAGAATCAATTGAAATGGAAAACAAAACCCAACTCACCTGTTTTGTTGTGTCTGCTTTATAGAGCTACGGTAGCGAATGAATTATCCGAGGACGAGAAAATCCGACGACAGCGTGGTTCACAAGAAGAACAACCGGAGGAAGGAAAAATAATGAAAATTTGTTTGCTAATTATGTGAACCCGTTAGCAGAAACAGGGCTTGGATGGAAATTGAAACAATCCGGAGATTAATATATGCCAATGAACCGTTTGATCCCGAAACAATTTAATTTCAAAATGATGATTCAATTTCCAAACACGTTCAATCTAATTATCACAATTGTTCATGATATTTGTATGATCAAAAGAGTTCACTGTTCTCCTCCGCAGTATTTCGCGATAATGGCCTGGTGCTTTATGAGCATTCGCTGTTGGTTTATTGCCGAAAGTAACGACAACCTTATCCGAAAGCGGTCGCAAAATGATTCACACGGCTATTGTTCACAAATGTATTTATTTTTTTAAATAATTTCTTTTCACATTAAGTCTTGCACACACAATAGGTCACATAACAACCGTCGACAACTAAATCAACTGTCGCTTTCTTTCCCGCTGCAGGTGTATAGACACGCTCACAGACACTCATAAGCACGCAACTCGTTTTTCAACTTAAAATTCCTCGATTGCAGGGTTCGAACGAATCGAACGCACTGACATCATCACCAGCGATTTTCCTCAGTTACTCAGCTATTGGATCTCGCAGACAGCTTCCGAATACGAGACAACTAATCAACTGTGGCTTGGAATGCCCCTCCGGCGTGTATCGTGACAGTGACTGTTTGTCGAAGTCTCTATTGACACGATAGATGAACGATACCAGATATTTTCACCGTCATCGCTTCGCTTCTATGAAGGTATCCTCATCTCTTCATCTACAAGACAACCACTATTATAGCCGTATATCATAAATGTATGCAAATGATCCCGACCAACCGTATTGGCTACTTTTGTGTTGTAACTGAATCGATAATTGTTTAGCGGATTCAACTTGGCTGCATGTGGCCACTCACTTCCCGGCGGAACAAAAAGAAACCGATGAAATAACAATCAATTCGTATTGTTTTAGCAAATTTACAGTTCACATTCAAAATACACACATCGTACTTCGACTAAACCGTAGCGTTCAATAAGCACGGCGAAAGGTAATTAAAAAGCTTCAAGCATGAGAATGGATACAACATAACACAACAAAACACAACAAACTACAATGCCCACAGGAGAGGAGATGAAAATGAGATGAATCGAAACACACCCGCAAATCACAAGAAGATCGAATTTCCGACGACGTTAACGGCGTGCTCACTGCTGCTTTGAACCACTCTCACCAAAGCCACTTCCAAGACTGCTGACGGCTTAAGTCGATCGTACAACGATGGGCTTCCCAGCAACCCAGTCGGCTATAGACAGTCAGTCAGTGGGTGATTTGTGCGGCTAAACTCATTCTCGAACTCGCACCGCAATAGACAGGTACTCAGAGATTTGTGGTGGTGAGTGAATAAGCAGGTTTTCAAGCCAAGTCACTGCTGGGGAGCAGGTTTCTGACGTGCGGTGCTGGAGGTGACCGGATGGAACTCAGTATTTCGAGCGCTGGCTATGCTAAACAGGTTGAACCACTGGAAGTGGTCATTCCACAGGGGTAGGGTGGTTCTCCGTGAGTTTCAGCTGAAAGTTGCAACACAGGTTGCGAGATATGATTGTTTTTTAAATGTATATGTGTAAACACATACGATTTTTTAAAGATGATGCAATCATTCATGCATCCAAACATCTTTTTTACGTAAACTTGTAATTTGCATGAAATATTGCTTAAAAAGATGGATCGTTGTATACAATATTTGGAATATTCCATGATATGTCTCATAAATTAACACGCTACATAATGTAATCTTGTAGTGACAGAAATTTACATTACTTTTTCGAAGATGTAGACTGCTAGTTCATTTGTCAAAGAATTGCTCAAAATTTTCGAAATAAATTTGAATTTCATAGAATTATTATTATTTAGCTTTATTTAGGAGGCTTTCAGCCTTAGGCTGGTTCGCCTCCAAGAATTTCAAATTAATCAAATTCAAATATCTCGGTCCAGTAAGCAGTATATATGATGCACATAAATGGGGCGTCATATATCACACAAGTTTACATTATAGATCAAGTAAAGGTATGAGACATTTCATGAAATAATAAAAATATTGTATGACATCTTCCAATTTTTGTAAGCAACATTTCTAGCAAGTTGCTAGTTTGCGTGAAAAGAAATACAAGTTTACATGCATGGATATTTACCTCATCAGAAATATTCAAAATTTTTTACTCAAAGAATATTTATGCAACTATTGTTTGAAAATATGTGATTTCTCGCCCATAAATTTATTTCTAAACCAAGAAATCTATTTTCTCGATACAAATAAACACTGAACTTTGTCTTTGGAGTTGTAGTTTGTCCCTAAACTACAATAATATAGTATTGAGCAACTTCGTTTCGATTATTTTTTAAGCCCTTCGAATACATTATGGAAATTGTTCTGAAAATATCATTTTTAAATCGAATCGTGCAACCTATAAACATATATAAGTGTTGAAATTTCATGTATTTAGCTATTGTTTAAAACAGCCTAATCTACATTTCTATAGATTAGCAAGTTAACTTTTTGACAAAAAAAATATTGGGCGCTCTACCCGAGCAGGAGAAAATAACTTATTAATACCAAATTTAGGTATGAAAATAGCATAACTGACCATCTAAATATGGTATTGCCTAGGCTGACATAAAAGGTAAAATTCCAAAAATAATACCTGGGAAATGTTCTACGAATAATGAACTAATACAGGATTTATTTATTATTATAACTAACGGATAACAGACGCTTTTTTAACAATTAAAAGGTTTTGTAATATCAATCCAATAGCTCTTTTTGAGGCGCTATTGTCTAAAAACAAAATATTTCGATATCTGAATGATATCAAAACAAGGTTTTATATCACAAGCATACCAAAATAAGATATCATACCACATTAAGATATTCAAATGTTATCGATTAGTTATCGTTTCCTGCTCGGGTAGTATTACATTTATGAACCAATTTATAAAAATTTAAGCTATTTTGGATCCAAGCCTAATAGCTACACTAGGGTGGGTTAACTCCACAACCCCACTACTCTTTCGATCAGTGTTGGAAAAATATCAAATAATCAAATTTCACCCATGCCGAAGATCACGCTCGATTTTCGTAGATAAAAATCAACATGCAAACAACTGCGCTTGATTTTGCAAGCTGTGATATCGCAGCAAGGAATATCAAGTCAAAACTCTCCAGTTGCATATCTCACCAAACTGTGGTGCGATTGAGTTTCTTGATTTTTGCTTTACACCCGAACACAACCGAAGCTTCCATAACGGCTGGCACCAGTCGCTTCGTGTCTGCCATCGGAGAAGAGTAAAAAGAGATAGCAAACTATACTTTCTCTTTCTTAAAAAAAACGATGGAAAACGGAATCATTTTTGTGTCGAGTCAGCTCTTAGCTTGATTTTTGCACGTTGTGAATAGTCTCGTCAAAGGAGCTTGTAAAATCAATATCAAGCATGATATTTTATTTCAATATCACGCAAGATATTGAGAGCGTATGAGAGCGGAAAAATATTATTTGATTGATGATTTTGCCAACACTGATAACTGGGGAATTTATTTAAGGAGCAGCAAGGGAATGTTCATTAACTACGTAGACGGTTTTTTTTTTATGATTCTTGACATCCCCATGCGTAGACAATTGTCCATACAAAAATTTTAAAATTTGTATGGGCTGTGGATAATTCTCAACCCCCCTAAACTGTCTACGTAGTTTATGATCAGCGCCTTAGCTACGAGCAGACTAAACAGTCTCATAAATAGAAATATAAGGACGGAAAAAGAAGATGAATAGTTGCAGGACATGATGACGTCGTTTACTTGACCGTTGAGACTAATTCAGTGATTGAGTCACTTTTACTCAGTTGCATGTGATTAAAAACAGAACTGGGGTTACTGTACACAAAAACTGAGTGTAGGAAGTAAGAGCAAGTTAGCTGTTGATAAATAAAATGTAAAACAAATCTCGGTTTTGTCCAGTGTATGAATTGATCAAATGAAGAACAATAAGAAAAATGAAGATATATGAAGCACACTGTAGTTTCCAGTCAGTTTTCCGACGAGCGGATGAGATGTTGAAGAGGTGCGTTCTCAAGGGTAAAATTGGCCCGAGGTCAACTGATCAAAATTAGCGTGGGAGAAGAAGGGATAGCAATACGATTTCACTCATTCACCGAGTTAGATTCAACGGACGTGTACCACAGAAATGCAAGTTCAGTTCCTAATTCTAGATAAACAATTCAAAAGTCTTAACGGCGCCGGTGGTGTAGTGGTAAGCGTGATTACCTCTCACCCCAGCAGGCCTGGGTTCAATCCCAGTCGGCGCCGCCGGGATGTTCTGAGGCATAACATCTCTGATCACGCCTTCCTTCGGATGGGAAGTAAAGCCGTTGGTCCCCGGTTCATGAGTTGATGGGTCGATAGGTAGGGTCCAGGTGTGGGAGCTGCCTTCCTGGCACGTCGGTAGCATTGGTGCTCAGCACGGAAAACAAGATCGACGGAAAAACAAACCAAAGGAAAAAAAAAAAAAATTCAAAAGTCTTATCTGCATAGATCGATTCTCTTCATCGATCCTAGGCGTAACTAGCATGTTGGGCTAGGGGAGGCCATGGCCCTAGCTAAAAAGACATAAAGTATAAACCATCGGTATAATGGGGGGATCCACGAAATGTCTTCACGTCTACTTTTATAAATTACGGGTGGCGAAAGATGTACACACTCTTAGATTTTGAAAACTGAGATTTTACAGAAGTTCAGCGACCTTCTTAGAAATCAATGAAAATTTGTAGAAGTCATGACTCAAGAGATTGTTTTCAGAGAACTTCGATTTTTTTTTATATTAAGGGAATGTTATATAACATCATAAAACTTCGTAAATAGAATTTTCATGGCACATTAAACAACTTTTTAGAACATCAGGAACTGCATATAAATTCTGGAGATTTTCTAGAAGTGCAACAAATTTTATAGGATTTCAGTTATTACTGTAAAAGTTAAGCGAACTGCAGTGAACTTCGTTGCAATGCTAATTATTTAGTAGAACTTCATTAAACTTTATATACATTTGATTTCTTTAAACTTTAGTGGCTTTGGAGATGTTCAAGTTAAACCCTAGAAATGCTTGGAATCTACTAGAAATTCGGAGCTTCGATTTTTTTCAGCAAAGCTTCGTAAATATTGGGAACATGTAAAAGTTTAGGAAGCTTCAATGAAGTTAATTAAACTTTGTTTTGTAGCAGGAAACTCTTATAAAATTTCAGGTCCTTCTTTTGTCTTTAGCACTTCTTAAAACATTAACTTAGAATAGTTCAGCGAATTGCATTGAATTTCATTTTTTTTATAGATGTAAAATAAAATAAACGAAATTCTTAAATATTCGGAAAGCTTTATAGAAGACAGTTATTATTAATTAATACAGAACACCAACCGAAAACATAGGTTCTAATGATGTTTAAACTAACTTAATTAAGAAGCAGTCGATTTTAGTACAGTATGACCCATAAAAAAATGCGACATGGGACATTTTTTCCAATTAAATGTGATTCCTTCTAAACTGCTGATTGAAACAAATATATTTTTGCTTTCCCATGTTTATTTGACATGTTTTGAATACATTTATTCAATGTGTCCTCCCTGGTTCTCGATCACCTGCTCCAGGCGGGGTCGAAATCTGGAACACACGGTCGTAATATATGACGCTGGCATCGAGTTCCATGCCTTGCGAATGGATGACTTGAGCGAATCCACACTGGGATGGGGGGTTTCACAGGCCTTAGCCTGAACATAGGCCCATATTGAATAATCCAATGGATTCAAGTCCGGGCTGCTGGGGGGCCAAAGCTCCTTCGACCAAAAATTCAGGTTCTCGGTGAGCCAAGCTTGGGTCCTGTTAGAAGTATGGCAGGGCGCTCCATCCTGCTGGAAAACGACTAATTGGTCTTCTCCAAAGTTGACCTTAATCCATGGCATCAGATGGTCCTTCAAAATGCCGATGTAGACCTCCGTATTCACTTTTAGACCCTCTTTGATGAATACCGGAGGCATTTTCAAGCCGTTGGACGCGACTGCTCCGAAAACCATAACTCCTGCAGGATGCTTGGTGGTAAACTTAAATTTTATGTTCTCAGGAACCTCCTCGATCTTCTTCGGCGAAATAAACCGGTCAGTGCGCGTGTTGGACACCGGAACGATGTTGAAAAGTTTTTCGTCAGAGAACACGATTATTGGTTTTTTCTT